CAAAAATTAGAAAGTTTTCAGGAGCCATGAAGGTGTCTTTAAGAAGGCCTCTTCCCTTGCCTCTCCTGGGTTGGGAGGGGAGAGGGAATTATTAACAAGATAAAGGGAAAGGAGGGGCCAGAAAGCCCAGAAAATGCTTTGCCTTAAAAATTTTTAAAAAGGAAAAATTACCAAAAAATGAGAAGACAGAGACAGAGAGAGAGGTAGAGAGAGACAAAGAGATACAGAGACAGGAGACTTGAAAGGGGTCTTCTACCATGTGAGTTTGTGTGCTGGAGGCTGAAATATCAGTGGAAAATCTTCACTTCTCTGTTTCCCCTGAAATGCCTAGTTCTTAGGAGCCATGAAGGTGTCTTCAAGAAGGCCTGTTCCCTTGCCTCTCCCAGAGTAATTAATGTTAGCTATCAAAACAAAGAACTTGGTGGTTTAACCCTTGCTCATGTCACAGTCGAGTGAGGCTTTGGTGGTTCTCCTTAGCAATAACTGAGGGATCAGGCTTCTGTCCCCGTGTAAGTCTTTAGCATAAACAGGGAAGCAGCAGCATCAGAGAATGTGTTACACTTTTTGAAGCTGACTCTGCCGGCATTGTTTTACCAGATCTCCACAAGCAGACTAAAGGAAGAAAGAAAAAATGTCTCTCTTTTCTTGCATCTCTGCTAGCTTTGTCACTATGAACATCCTAAATTCTTTATCTGACATGTTCACGAGTTCCATTGTACTGTCTGTGGATGATGAAGGGCTATTCTTTTCCCTTGAGGGAGAGATTTTTTTTTTTTCATTTCCCATATTTCTTGTGCCTCTGCAGTGGTGGTTTCTGGTCATCTGATGGAGTATATATGTTACTTCCTACCTTCTCGGAGTTAATCCTGAGTGTTAGAGGCGTGTGGAAGGAGATGGCCTGCAATTTTTCTGCAGTTCTGTTTCCCTATCTTCACCAAGCAATGTGCACTGGCTTTTTACTGGGCCAGAAGGAGGGGTTTGGGGCAGAGGCTTTTTCTGGTTAAAAGGGGCAGGGCTGGGTCCACCCCAGATATACATGGATTCTGGCTTTTTGTTGGCCCGAAAGGAGGGGTCTGCTTCGGTTTAGTTCTGAGATTTCTATTCAATTCCAGTTGTTTATGTATCTGTTTTTATACCAGTGCCATACAGATTTTTTTGTTGTTTGTTTTTTGGAGAGGTTTTTGCTACAAGACACGTGCACTCACCAAAAAGACAGAGAGAGACAGAAAGCAAGAAATCACCCACCAGGGGGGATGGCCACACCGCAATCCCTTCTCCTCCATTCTCCTCTCAGGATCTTGGGCACACATGCACAGGTGCCCGGCGTGAGTTTAAGCCACTGGGTCCGGGACTTGAACCATGGTCAACTACTTGGGAGTCCAGCAACAGAGCAATTACAGCAACTGCTGGCCCTGCCATACAGTTTCGATTACTGAAGCTTTATAGTACATTTTGAGACCAAGTTGTGTTATGCTTCTGGCTTTGTTCTTTTTGCTCAGATTTACTTTAGCTATTCAGATTTACTTTAGCTATTTTGTAGTTCCTTATGATTTTTAGGATTTTTTTTACTGTGAAAAATGTCATTCAAATTTTAGGAATTATGTCTATAGACAGAATGCTTTGAGTAATATGGACATTTTTAATAATATTAATTCTTCCAATCCATGAGCATAAAATATCATTCCACTTATTTCTGTTGTGTCCTATTTATTTTATTAATGTTTTATATATTTTTGTTTGGTTAAATTTATTCTTTAAGGGACCAGCAGTTAGTGTAATGGCTATGTCGTTGAACTCCCATGTAGCCAACAGCGGTTCGAGTCCCGAAACCAGTGACTTAAACTCACGCCAGGCGTGTGTGCATGCGTGCCCAAGATCCCGAGAGGAGAATGGAGGAGAAGGGATTGCAGCATGGCTATCCCCCCCAGGGGGTGATTTCTCACTTTCTGTCTCTCTGTCTCTCTCTGTCTTTCTGGTGAGCACACGAACCCTATAGCAAAAACCTCTCAAAAAAATTTATTCTTTAATATTTTTTATGCTATTATAAGTGAAATTGTGTTCTTTTTTGGACAGTTCACTGTTAGTGTGTAGACATTACTGATTTGTGTAGATGATTTTTGTATCTTACAGCTTTACTGAATTTGTTTACTAGTCCTAATAGTTCTTTTGGTATAGTACAAGATCTTCCACATATAAAACCACGTCATCCTACAAACTACAATGATTTAACTTTTTCCTTTCCAAATTGAGTGCCCTTTATTTCCTTTTCTTGCCTAATTGCTCTGGTGAGAACTCCCAGTACTATGTTGAACGGAAGTGGAGAGAGTGGGCATCATGTTGATCTTGATCCTTGATGTTAGAGAAAAGCTTTCACTGTTGAATATGATATGCACTGTGGGATTGTCATGTGTGTCCTTTATTATATAAGGCACATTCCTTCCATACCTAACTTTTTAAAGAAAATTGATTAATTTCATCTTTATAATTAAGCCATAGCATTTTAAAAATTGCGACCAAAAACGTGTACAATTTGCCATCTTAATCATTCGTAAGTGTACAGTCCAATAGTGTTAAGTATATTCACCGCATTGTGCAACACATCTCCAGGAGTTTTCCTCTTAACAAACTAGATTTTTTTTTTTCAAACTAGAATTTTGAGCCCACAAAACAACAACTCCCGTTTCTCCCTCCTCCAAGCCCTTGGCTATCACCATTCCACTTTCTGTCTCTATGAATTTGACCACTCCAGGCCCCTCACTTTAGGTGACGTCACGCAGCATTCGTCTTTTTGCAAGTGACTTATTTTACTTAGCACGTCTTCAAATGTCACCTATGTTGTAGTAAGTGTCAGAATTTCCTTCCATTTTAAGGCTGAAAAATAGTCTACTGTACACGTGCACGTTCACATTGTTTATCATTTATCTGAGGGTGGGTACTTGAGTTGCTTCCACCTCTTGGCTATGGTGAAACTATGGTGAACATGGGTGTGAATCCGTGGGGCTTTCTCTTGCCTCTGGTTCCCTTTTGAATCTTTTTGCATCTCACAACCAGGGGTTGTCATGCACCCATGTCCCTCTCCGCTAATTAGCCCTCTCCTTTGCTCCAGAAGGATCCATCTCAAGACTTCCTCCCTCTGAGCAGTTGTCTCCTGTGTTGGTGATGAAGGTACCAGAAGCAGGCCCGGGGAGCTGGGGGAGTTTCAGAAAGGAGGGAAGCCTACCCTTACTCCATTCACTCGTCCTGTATTTCAGGCGTGAAGACCACTGGGGTTCTCTCATTTTCTGTCAGATGTTTGTTTAGGAACACAATGACAGATGAATACAGTCCGAGTAATTAACGTTAGGAGTCAACAAATAAATAAATGTACAAAGGGAATGGTTCCAAACTTGCCCTGCCTTTGCCGTTTTTCTCTCAAGGCATCTTGCATGCTTTCTCCGAAGAACAATAGTGTCTGGCCATTTCTTTAGGCTCCCTGCTGTTTGCACAGTAAAGTTCAAATTCTTTAGTTCAGAGTTCAAAAACAATCTCAGTCTTGCCTGGTTACTTTTCCCACTCAGTCCCATTACCTTGTCTATCCAGCACATGGCTACCCTCTTCAGGGGCTCCTCGCCCGTCCTCCGTAGGTCATACATTTCTGCATTTCCCTCTTGTCTGCCTCTTCTCCATTCATGGTTGTTCATCCACGACATGGAAGAGCATGAAGCCTGTCTTGACCCCTCCAGCCTACAGAGATCTCCTCCACCTCAACCCCAGCCCCTTTTCCTGGACCTCTTCCTACTTTCACTGATTTGCTGGTGTCTCATGTCTGAGTTCTGTCTGCAGCACCCCTGCACACCCTGTGAGTGCAAGGTGGGCTCTCTCTGTCTTTCTGCAGAGTATAGTACAGTGCTCGACCTCCGCAGGTGTTCAGTTACTATTTGCGAAGTGTGGTGGTATCGTGCCAGGAGCTGAGACACATGGCCTCAGGTGTATCGTCCGTTCACCTGTTCATTCAATCATCCATTGTTTATTGGGCTTCAGTAGTGCTCCAGGCAGTGGGAATTAAATGATGAACAATGAAACAGTTTCTCATAGAGTTTATGATTGTATAGGAGAGATGAATTCTCAAAATAAATAGATTATTTCAAAGAGTGAAAAGGGACATAGAAGAAACAAGAACCTAGGACCCACTGGTGGCAAAGCAATTACACAAGCAATGCTCTGGAATGCTTGGCCCACATGTGAGAATGCCAGGTTCACATCCCACCCGAGGCCTCCTGTATGCACTGGGCACAGACTCGCATCCATGATCTGGACTGGATGGGGGTGGATCACGCAGGAACACCCTGTTAGGGGTTTCTCTCTCTCTCTCTCTGAAAAAATCTTGAAGAAGAAAAAAGAAACAAGGACCTTCATTCACTGTACTACATATTTTACCTATTCTGTATGTAGAAGCACTTGCATAATTTGTGTGGCACAGTGAAAAATGAAAATGTGGGTGCCCTTGTTCAAAAATTTATCAGGAGCCAGCAGATGGCCTGGAGGCTAAGGCAGCTTGATCCCGCATGGCCGAACCACAACGTGGTTCTAGTCTCAGTCGTGGTGGCTTGAAAAACACACTGGGTGCATGTGCTCTCAGTCCTGAGAGGAGACTAAAGGAGAAAGAATTGCTGTGTGGACATCCCCTCTGGGGGGCGATTTCTCACTTGCCCTCTCTCTGTCTTTCTCTGGTGAGCACATGTGCCCTCTAGCAAAAACTAAAAATAAATAGATAAATAGAAATTTTAAAATGTATCAGAATTTCAAGATGGTAAGAACACAGCATTAAACCAAACGTGGGCCCTTGGAGCTTATGGCCATGAAGCCGACTGTGCTCCCGAGAGAGAAAATCAGTAGAGAAATCACCCTATTTGGTGTGAAGCCCAGCTCACTATATTACTTTGCCGAGAATACCGTAAGCTCCGTGGTGGCCATATGTGGAATGCAACATAACGTTCTTGTTGCTGTCTCCTGCCTTCCAGACTGCTTGTCCTCCTCACCTTTACAAGTATTGTCCAGAAGGTGCTACGGGAAACAGAGATGCAAAGTCATCGTCAACAATCACCATTTTGGAAGCCCCTGTCTGCCGGGAGTGAAAAAATACCTCACTGTTACCTATGCCTGTGGTAAGAATAAACTCAAAAAGCTGCTTGAAGACCCTGCCGCAAGGGAGGTGGAAGTCATGTGAACTGAGGGAGTCTGCGTAGAAGGAGTCCAACGACTGGCTCCTGAAACTGTCTAGTCATCCCAGATATTCAAGAGCTGGTTTTTTTTTTTTTCCCCATGCTTTATTCTTGTTTATGAGATTCATCAGATAAGCAATAGAATTTTCTTTGGCCTAAATTTGTTTTTAAAGTGGTTTTTAGTAATCAGATTGGCAGCCAGTGGGGAGGGTAGAAAAAGAGCAAGCAAGAGAGGGTAAGGGATGTCTCTGAGAAGAGTGATTGTAATCTCTGTTTTTAGGAGGCTCTGCAGTTTATTGGTATGTCATTCAAGTTCACAGAGCATTGTTTGGCTCCTATATAACCTTTCAGCATTACTTTTTGGCCCTAAAAGACGAACTCCTCTGTTGCCAATGGCTATTTTATCTACATACCCAGGGCATTGAATCAACAGATTAAAAATGTTAGGTGACAGTGCTACTTTGTTTTCCTAGGATCTTTAAATAATAAAATGAAATGTCTGCTTTCCTTAGATTCCAATTTCATGAAGCTACTCAAGAGCAAATCAGCAGTTAATTCTTTAATGAGGGTACTTGGAGTTGTTTTTTACAATCCTCATTCATTGACTATTTTGGTGTGCATAAAAGCAAAGAGCCCTGGAACTGAAGAAATGGATACTTTTGCTCTTGGAAACTCCTTCCTCCTCTTTTTTCCCCTGGCATTTACCCCTAGCCTTTTTTGTCTCTTGCAACAGCTTTATTGAGATAATTCATAGACCAACTAATTCGCTCTTAAAGTGTACCAATCAATGTTTTTTTAATATATCACCAGAACTGAGCAGTCATTACCACAGTTAATGTAAGAACATTCTCATTCCTCCCAAAAGAAAGATTATATTTTTTTGAGAGGTTTTCGCTATAGGGCACGTGCACTCGCCAGACAGACAGAGAGAGACAGAGAGATAGAAAGCGAGAAATCACCCCCCAGAGGGGATGGCCACGCCGCAATCCCTTCTCCTCCATTCTCCTCTCGGGATCTTGGGCATGCACGCACACGCACCCGGCGTGAGTTTAAGCCACCGGGTCCGGGACTTGAACCGTGGTCAACTACGTGGGAGTCTAACAACATAACCATTATGCTAACTGCTGGTCCCCAAGATTATATTCTTTAATCTCTCCTACCCAATCCACCCAACACACCTCCCCCAACTCCAGGCAACCACCAATCAACACTCCATCTCTATGGATTTACTTCTTCTAGAAGTCTCATGTAAGGGAATCATATGGCTATGTGGCCTTGGTGTCTGGCTTGCTTACTTAGCATGTTTTCAAGATTCAAGCATGTGGTAGTATGTACCAGTACTTTATTCTTTTTTATGGCAAATGATATTCCGTTGCATCACCAGACTTACGTCCTGAGCTAAAACTTTTGTTCTCTGCGATATCTATGCTGTCGCAGGTGCAACAAAGTGATGACTTAAATGTGTCCCCACAGTGAGTGCACCCACCCATGCATACAGGAAGGATGTTCTTATTTGTTCTATCTTTATTCCTGCAACCATATTGAAGCAGCTCTGAGGAGCATGGAGCCCATCTGGCTGAACTTCCCCTAGAAGCCAACATAGCTCACTCCAAGGTGCCAGGAACATCAGGCCTCTTCAGCTAACTGTTGAAGAGCAGGACTTTAACCTCCAAATCCGGTCAATTTCTAGTGTGCCTTCAAGGAGGAGGCAAAAGCAGTTATGAGGGTTCTTCTTTACCAGTGCTGAGAAGATGAGCTTTTGGCTCTTTTCTCTCGCCCATTCAGCACATCCTGAGCATGTCTGTGTGTCCGGAGCTGCACTGGGGCCAAGGATCCGACATCAGAGACATGGATCTTGTCCTCATGGGATTGACAGTCAGGGGAAAGAGACAGACATTAAAGGAGCAGCCAGACAAATCCATCATCACCCACTGTGCTAAATGCTCTTTTGGGAGAGGGCGGGATTCAATTAGAAGGGATAATGGTGGGGATAATGGTGGGCCCTGACATAGCTTGGGGCTGTGTTTTGAGAAGACTTTCAAAGAGAATCTTCCTTGGGGAAACTGGCAGGCATGAATGGACAGGTAGGGCTAACAGGTGGAAGAAGAGATGCTGATATGCTGTGAGGGTGAGGGGAGAGGAGCTAGGAGGAGGAAGATGGCAGGAGGTGGCACTGGAGAAGACCAGAACAAGACCCGGGGGCTGTTGGGAGGAGAGGTAGATGCAGTGGAAGGTTTGAAGTAGGAGAATCATACAGTTGGACTTTGGCACACAAAAGACCACACCCTCCACCTCCTTGGCTTAGGAATGGAATGTGCCATTGGGAGTGTCATGTCTCTGCTGGAACCTTATGCTATAATTTTACCCTGTGTGGCAGCATTGGGTGGTGGAGCCTAGTGAGAGATGTTTAGGACATGAGGGTGGATCGCTCATAAATAATTAAGGTCATCTCAATTCTCCCTCATTAGTTCCCCTAAGAGTAGATTATTATTCAAACAAGTCAGCCACCCGCAGGCCTTTCTTTCTTTGCACATGCCTGCTTTCCTTTTTATTTCTCTTGGCCGTGTTGTGACATAGCACCAGAAGCTGGCCGGATGCTGGCCCCAAGGTCTTGGCCGTTCTAGCTACCAGAATTGTGACCTAAATGCACCTCTTTTCTTCATAAACCATCCAGTCTCAGGTGTCCTGGCATAGCCACACTGATGGGCAATATGTGACTAGATGTAACCAGTGGTATCACTGCCAGGCCAATGCATACAAGATTTTATGATCATCACATGCTCTTTACCTTTGTTGTAGAAGTTGGAAGGACCTCTCTGGCTATAGGGTAGAGAATGGATTGGAGTAGAACAGAGCAGGGAGAGGAGCTAGACGGCAGCCGGCAATGAAGACTTGGACTAGAGCTGCGCTAGTGCACATGGTAAAAATGTGAATGAGCTGAGAACCATTTGGAAAGTAGACACAGGGATACAAAGAGACTGGGAGATGGGAAGAATAGGGGTAGAAACTGAGAGGGATGAGACTGATCTTTCAGAGGAGCGCAGGGTGTTTCCCTTGTTACAAAGAAGGAAGAAAGCTGTGGGAATAGATAAAGGTCTAGGAGTTCCATCACCCAGCCTCTGACTTCTCAAAAGAAGTATGAGATGACTCATCAGCTGCAGGGTTTAGGGGAAGAGGAGATTAGGAGGTGAAAGAAGGTTTAGGTAAATGCCATGAAGGTGGGAGGAAAGGCCGACTTGAGAAACATTGCTGGGTATGCCGAGAGCCTGTCTTAGTCCATCATTGCATTGTCCAGAGAAATGCCTGAGATTGGGTATCTTATAAAGAGTAGATGTCGAGACCAGCAGTTAGCATAATGGCTATGTCGCTGGACTCCCATGTAGTCTACTGCGGTTTGTGTCCCGGACTCAGTGGCTTAAACTCATGCTGGGCGGGTGTGTGTGTGCCCAAGATCCCGAGAGGAGAATGGAGGAGAAGAGATTGTGGCATGGCCATCCCCCCTGGGGGGGGGTGATTTTTCGCTTTCTGTCTCTCTGTCTCTCTCTGTCTATCTGGTGAGCGCACATACCCTATAGCAAAAACCTCTACAAAAAAAAAAAAAAGTTGTTTCAAAGATTGTAAATAATATGAGGGGAACCTCATAAAGTTCATGGAAGCACCGAATTTAAAGTGTATGCACATGCCCTATAGCAAAAACCTCTCAAAAAAAAAAAAAAAAAAAGAGTGGATGTCTATTGACTCACAATTCTGGAAAGCCCAATGGCATCACAAGATGGTGGAAGGCAGGTCTTTGAGCAGAGTAGATCATGGTCTGTATCCATGTAGCCTCAGCCTCTCATTGTTTTCCTTGTAAACCTATCAGCACCCAATCAGGAGGCCCCACCCAATCACCAATCTCCTCTCAAAAGCCCCATGGTTCAACACCATCATTGAATCAAGCTCTCATTTAATGCCTTTACAGTACAATCAAGTCCCAACACACAAATCCTGACAGTCCAGGTTTTCAGGACAACTGGTCTATTCACTGTATGGTTCACCCCAGCAAGGCTCAGCTGTCTAAGAGCAGGTGTGGAAGATACTAGGCAGTGATAAAGGAGGAGGAGAGAGATAAAGTTGTTAAGTTTCTAAACAAGTGATCACAATGGCAACTGGAGGAATCTAAGCTGGAGAAAAAGGGAGATGAAGACAAGATGGAGAGAAAGTAGGAGGGGAAAGGAGGGTTGGGCAAGGTCAAAGAATTGCAGAAGGAGGTGTTGAGTGAGACCACTTGAAGGACAGGAGGCTGAGGACAGGGAGTATGTTTGGATTGTGGTTTGGGATGTGAGGAATAAATGGGGGTATTGGGACCAGGTGTAATGGCTATGTCGCTGGACTCCCATGTAGTCAACTGTGGTTCGAGTCCCAGACCCGGTGGCTTAAACTCACACCTGGTGCATGTGCAAGCATGCCCAAGATCCCGAGAGGGGAATGGAGGAGAAGGGATTGTGGCATGGCCATCTCCCCTGGGGGTGGTGGTGGTGGTGATTTCTCGTTTTCTGTCTCTCTCTGTCTTTCTGGTGATCACATGTGCTCTATAGCAAAAAACAAAAACAAACAAACAAACAAACAAAAAAAATAACTCTCCAGAAAAAAAAAAAGAAGAAGAAGTAAAGAAAAGAAATGGGGGTATTATGAGTATCTCTTCCATCTTCCTAGGGCAGTATCTCTTGTCCATCTGCTGTAGCCCCTTAAGAGTTATTCCAAAAGGAGGGAGTGACTCTACTGTGAAACAAGTTAGTCTCTTTCTCCCTAGACACCTTCTCGTCACCTTCAAAGTGGTTGACATTGGGAAAAAAGAAATTCCTCTCACTCCCATCCCCACTAGATGACTCTTAACTGTGAAATCTAAGTCATCAAAGAACGGTTTGCAGTCCAGCTGCAGTAGCACATGCTAGATGCCGCTGCTCAGCACGCTGACACCACATGGAGGTCTGGTTTCCACTGGGTACCCCCTCAAAGCCGGTAGAGTACACCAGCTGAGTCCCAGGATGCTGAGGTAGGAGGAATGCAACATGGTGAGACTGTCTAAATTTTTAAAAAATGATTTGCAATGTGTGCATATTTTGTAGGTCACCAGATGAACTTGGAAGGTTTTACACTTATGTTTCTTTTTAATTATCCCAACTGATGTGGAAATTAATACAAGGATTCCAGGGGAGGTCAATAATTAATTTCTAAGCAAACCTGTCTTGGTTAAGACTCTGGATTTAAGTGGAGGAAGCAGTCTGAGCTGGTATAAGCCAAGAGGCAGATATCACGGGCTAGGTCTTCGCCAGGGCCTCACAGTGGGGCGGAGCCTATGGCATTTGCAGGGAACCAAGTCTCTCCTTGGGCCATATTTTGAGAATGAGCCAAGTGACAGGCAGAGATAAAATTGCCACCCTGGCAGGGAGAGAGGACACTTCCTAGAATCACTGCTGTCAGAGGATGGGGCAGGGGAAACCTCTCAGGGGCCAGAATGAGCAAGAGGTTGTTTACTCAGCCACCATTTTGCAGCAGAGCTGCTCAGCTCTCCAGAGTGCTACCGTGGTCCCGCTTCAGTGGTGTGCCCTGTGATCAATCAAGCAGCATTCCTCAGAGGCCCCAGACAGCTTCCGCTTCTTCAGGCGTCTTCACCATGCCTCTCTGGAAGGTGGCCCTTGCTGCTGATGGGCACTGAGGTGCGAGAGCCTCCTGTACATAGCAAATTCACAACTTCGGAATGTTCTGTGGTTGTCGATCCCGGGACATCCCCAGAAGAAGTTACTCAAGCACTCTGAGAGAGGAGATGTGGTTTTCTTGCCGCTGAGGATACCTTCCTGATTCTTCTGAAAGCACTGCAGTTGAGCATGCAGTTTGTATTGGCTTCATTTCTATTTCCTGGTGCCATTTCTCCCGGATATCAGCTGGCCTAAGGAACAAACGAATGCAAGCGATTTTCTGCAGTAAAACCATTTGATTTCCACTTCCCTCCTCCCTGCCTGCCCCAGTGTGCTAGCCTTCAGGAGTCTCTCTTTGCCCTCTGTAACTGTTACCGTCACCCTGTGATACCACACACAATGGCTTGCTCTTACACTTGCTTTGGCAGAAGTTTAACCACCTTCCAGAGGAACCTATCACAAAAGCTTCCTCTCCTCATCTTTCTGTAGCCCTTTCTTATCCTATCTGGTGAATCACTTTAGTATAGAGTCTTCTCGTTTTCTCCAGGCTCATTATAGAAACAGTAGCTGAGAGATTGGGTTAAAGGCAGAGTGGGAGCTGGAAACAGGTCGTTTGGTGGGTTTTGAGTTGATCACAGACATTTTGCTTTACTGTGTCTTGAGGAAGTTCATGTTTGGTGTTAACAGCTTTACTGAAGAGTTAGATACTTTAAAATTCACCCACTGTAAGTGAATACAGTGAAATTATTTTAATTAATTAGTTAATTAATTAGTTAATTAATTAAAATTGTCAAGAGTGGCATGTATGCTCACCAGAGAGAGACAGAGAAGATGGGGGTTGAGGGAGGGGGTGGAATCATCCCCAGCAGACTATGGTCACACTACGATCTTCCATTTCTCCATCCTGCTGGGATTTGGGTACACACACATTCACACCTGGCATGTTTTAAAAGTCATGTGGGCCAGGATTTGAACCACAGTTGGCCATATGTGATCCAACTCCCTTAACCACTAGGCTGCAGAGCCAGCCTCAGTGATTTTGAGTATATTTAGACTTGTGCAACCATCACTACACTCCAGTTTTTAAAAGTTTATTTATCTCTTCTATGAGCAAGAGTGACAGAGAGAGAGAGAGAAAGTACCCCCACAAGGGTCCAGTGCTGTGACCTACTGCCAGCTTCAGCCAGCCCTGGACCTTGGGCACACACATGTCCACTGTGCTCACAGAGGTCTCCAGATGTGAACCTGGAACCCTCCCAGATGGGTCAGCCTCACAGGGCACCATATTTACTGCTGTGACTCCTCCAGGCCTCTGTACTCCAATTTTAACATTCCTATATCCACAGATTTCCCTCACAACCAACTGCATCCCCCATTCCCACCCATCTCCCAGAAAGTCACTAATCTACTTCCTGTGTCTAGATTTACCTCTTCTGGATATTTTGTATAAATGAAAGCATAAAAATACGTGAGTTTGTTGCCTGACCCCTTTCACTGAACATGTTTTTGAGGGTCTTCGATGTTGTACACAGCACATATTGCTACTTTACTCCTTTTTATTATCAACTGTATTCCCCTGGGTGGACATTCCATCTTACTGATTTATTCTCCAAGGTTTTTTTTTTTTTTCTTCCCTGACAGGATGTGTATGCTCACCAGAGAGAGACAGAGTAGTAGAGAGAAAGGAAAGTGAGAACTCATCCTCCCTGGCAGAGGATGGCCACCCCTTAATCCCTTCTCCTCTATCCTTTTCTCAAGATTTTGGGCATGGGGGGAACCAGCAGTTAGCGTCATGGCTATGTCGTTGGACTCCCACGTAGTCGACCGCGGTTTGCGTCCCAGACCCGGTGGCTTAAAACTCATGCCGGGCGCGTGTGAGTGCGTGCCCAAGATCCCAAGAGGAGAACGGAGGAGAAGGGATTGTGGCGTGTGACCATCCCCCCTGGGGGGTGATTTCTCGCTTTCTGTCTCTATGTCTCTCTCTGTCTGGCGAGCGCACGCGCCCTATAGCGAAAATCTCTCAAAAAAAAGAAAAAAAGATTTTGGGCATGCACGCACATGTACCTGGCATGATTCTCAAGCTACTGGGTCTGGGTCTCAAACTGTGTTGTCAGTCATGTGGGACCCAGCTGCCTTAACCTCTGCACCACCTTCTGGCCCTCAAGTTATTTTTTTAATATGACAAAATTGGCCTAAAATTTTACTTTCATAGGACATTTGATAGTCATCCATGTGGGTACCATAGACATGTGTGTACATGCGTGTGTGTGTGGGTGTGTGTGTCTAACAGGCAGCGTGAGTGATTCTTTAACTGATTGGAAAGTATCTTTTAATAGTATCTACATTGCATTTTTAAAAATATTCACTGTACATATTTTTAAAACACATCAAGTGTTTAAAATATTTTATTTTGGTTTTTAGTTCCCAAGAACATACTCACAGCGATTGATCCAGCCATTGCTAACCTAAAACCTTCTGTGAAGCAGAAAGATGGTGAATATGGTAATTTTTATGGCTTACTACCAGCATTTCTCTTTAAGTAAAGGTAAACAGCCCTTGCACGACCAAATCGGGCACATATTGGTTAGATTGAAAGATGTCAGGCGCTGTGTTTGAGCCACTGCTTCTGATAATGACCAGGCTGCAACAAATGATCACAAATGGTGGCCCACATTTGATTTAGACTTTTTTTGTAATTGCCGGAGGGTGTGTGCTCACAGGAAGAGACAGAAAGGGAGATGTGGGGAGAAAGCACCTTCCCACGGGGTATGGTCACTCTGCATTCCTTTCTTTTCCATTTCTCCATCTCCTCGGGTTTGAGACACACACACACACACACACAGGCCCAATGTGTTTTTCAAGCTGCCAAGATCAGGATTCCAACCACCATCGGCCATGTGTGATCCAGCTACCTTAACCACTACAGGCCCGGCCCTTGTTTTGATTTCTAAAATTAAAGTAGAATGTCGTTCTCACTTCCTAAAAGAAAAATCACTTCAAACAATAGATCTGCTCAGGAGTAAATTGGGGGATCCTGGATTACACGATGAGCCTGTTGCACAAACGATACCCCCGGGAAGGTACACGAGCCAGACCCGGTGATGGGTGAGCCTCCGAGCACACGCTGCCTTCTTCCCTGGTTTTCGCTTGACTTCCATAAATAGGAGAGGTGAGCATTTTGGTTTTCTTATCAAATCTAGGATGGATTTGATAAGAAATTTAGATCCCAGGGGCTCCTCAGAAACTGCAAAGACCTACTAGAGTGTCTAAGATGCTAGGCTTCAGGCAGTGAGAGTTTAGTTTTATTACTTTTATTGTATATTAGGTCTTTTCCATCTAAGTACAAAAGTGAAGTATGCTTGATATGGAAATCACGGGAAAGCTCCAAGAAGCAGGAACCACCCCTAGTACAAAGTTTAGAGGGAACTATGAGGGGAGATTTGAAAAGTTCATAGAAAAGCTTAGGAAAAAACCATGCATGCATTTCCTTTTTTTAAATGAAACAAACTCAAACTGTATTTCTATTCTGCCATAAACTTTTGAAGTTCCCTCATATTGCTAATATTCTTTGTTGTTCTAATTGGCCACCCCTGCTTTTCCCCAGACCTTGCATCTCTCAATCCCAGTTCTCTTTCTTATGGGGCTCCCAGCCAGTCCCACGGGCGTCCTGGTCCCCCTGCAGTGGGGGCCTGAGAGCTCTTGCCGCTTGTCTCAGAGGTATCTGCCCTGTCTGACGTTCCTAGGTGCTCTCTAGCTCCCAGGCTGCCCCCAGCTCGCTAACAACCACCACTCCCGCAGTGCCACCAGGATCTGAGAGCAGATCTGCCTCACATTTTGCTGTCACTTCCGAAAACATAGCCCAGCACAACCTCCTTCCGTAATTTAAGGTTTGCTTTGTCTCAGGTCAACAGGCAGCAAGCAGCTCTGTGATTAAAGAGAGACATTACTGGGGCCAGCAGATGGCATAATGGGTACGTTGCTGGACTCCCATGTAGTTGACAGCAGTTTGAATCCCAGACCCAGTGGCTTAAAACCCACACCAGGCACATGTGTGTGTGTGCCCAAGATCCCAAGAAGACAATGGAGGAGAACAGATTGCAACTTGGCCATCCCCCAGGGGAGATTGATTTCTTGCTTTCTATCTCTCTGTCTTTCTCTGTCTCTTTGGTGAGCACACACACCCTATAGCAAAAATCTCTCCTAAAAAAAAAAAAAGCAAAACATTATTACACCCCTGAGAGGTATGATGAAAGTTGTTGCCTTTAGGGTGGGAAAGTAAATGTGTCCCCTTCTGCAGTGGAGTGGCTGAGTGGCACCTGAAGTTGGAACACTTTACATTTTTCTGATTCCTCTTAGTATTTAATATTTTGGAGGGCTGCTTGCTAAGTACTTTTCCTATTTAGTCTTCTGCAGTTTAGCCAGGTGCCCTTTTGTTTGATTTCTGTGACATTTAATTATTATGGCAGTCCTGGGCTAGAGTTATCTTAGGATGGGTGAACTGTGAGCAGCTGTGACTAACTGGTCTTGCATTTTTTATGCAACAGGTATAAACTTCGACCCAAGCGAATCAAGGGTCCTGAGGAAAGACGGAGTTATCGTTAGCAACTCTCTGGCAGCCTTTGCATATGTTAGAGGTAGGTCAATGTGCCCGCTTCCTGGAATGCTAATGGATTTACTAAAGCCTTTTTAACAAATGTACTGTTCAGTTACAAGCTGATGACTTTTTAAAAAATGACTTTAGGGCTAATAGGTGACATGGTAGTTAAGGCTCTAGATCCCACATGGCCAACTCCACTGTTCGAGTCCCAGACCCAGTGGCTTGAAGCACACACTGGAAGCATGTGCATGTGTGCCCAAAATTCCAAGAGGAGAATGGAGGAGAAGAGATTGTGGTGTGGCCGTACCCCCGGGGGGTGATTTTGTACTTTCTTTCTATCACTGTCCTGTGAGCACATGCCACCTATGGCAAAAATCTAAAAAAAAAAGACTTGAAGTTTGGCACAGCAACTGCAGTCTTCTGAGATCCAGGAACACTTGATTCAGTACAGTTGCAACTGGGTGAGCGACGAGAGAATCACAGGATTAAAGTCCCATGTTTTTAGGACCAGCCAGTACTGCAGTGGCGATGCAGCTGGACCCACATGGAGAAGGTCTTACTGTATCTGGGACCTCCCTGAGCGGCCGGGCACATGCATGCCCGTGATGCAGACCAGCCGAGCCTGGGGTAGATTCCAGTGTGCACATGCTGTCGTGGGTACCTGTCTCTGACTCATGGAAGAAATAGATATAGAAACTTTTCAAAAGAAAACTCGGACTCTGAGGAAGGGATTTGCGAAGGAACTCGGATGATTGAATTTCACCCCTAGCTAGACATAAACAGGAGCCAGAAGATCACTTAGCAAGCGAAACAGGTCTTCCCCCATGAAGACAGTCACTTTCTGAACCACAAGTGTTATTTCTCATGGCTGCCAATGTTTCCTGTTTTACCTCTTCCTCAAGGACCCATGAGACCCCGCCCTCCTGAGGTAGCAGTCTGAAGGCTTGTACCGCAGGCTGGCTTGGAGCACGTCCGCGTTAGAGAGGGAAGGTCCAATCTTTCCTCACCACCGTCTCTGCTTATCTTAATATAGACCACATTTGGGAATGTTGAATGCAAATCTCGACAATGCCTGCTGACTCTATTCAGGGAGGCCCCAACCTCTGTGACCTTCAGTAAACAGCACGTAATATAAGGTCTAACAGTATTGCTATTCAAGGCCTGCCGGAGCTGGGGCTGCCCAGGGTAAGCCTTCTTCAGAGAATAAAAGCTTAAGGAAATACTTGAACATAGGACCCTCTGCAGTCCCACCATCTTCCCATGTCGGCACTCCTCCTGTGTGCTCGCTGTGAGGCATGTGCTTGTTGGTCGCACCGGTGAATCTTCTTTTTTAACCATTTCCATGTCTCACTGTTTCTGATACTTATCAAAGTTGACAAATGTGAGGATTTTTGTAAATGTCTTTCTTTTGTGTGAGAGAGAGTGAGAGAGAGAGAGAGGCACCCCCAAGGAGGTCTTCATGCTGCTGCCCTCCCCCAGCCTCGGCCATCCAGGACCACGGCACCTGCCCGTGTGCCAGCCTGGTGTGAAGGGAGGTCTCCAGGCACAAACCCAGGACCCTCCCCTTTGGCATCAGCATTGTAGAGCATTGCATGACTGCTGCCCCACCACAGCTGGCCATGCAGAGTTTTATTGTCAGAAATAATTCCGTGCCTTAAGTGTCCCTGGAAAGCCCCTCGGACAGGCATCATAGAATTCCTCTGAGTAGAGAATAATGATTAAAGAGGACCTAAAATGACATGGCTCACTGAGCAGCGTAGTGCTGTGTGCTTTCCTGCGGGGTGCCTTGTCAACAGTGGCCTTCGTGCGGACTAGGGGGTTTAAACAACGGAAATGTGTTGTCTCACAGGTCTGGAGGTTGGAAGTTCATGATCCATGTGCCGGGCAATTTGGTTTCTGGTGAGAACTCTCTTTCTGGCTTGTAGAGGGACACTTCCCACTGTGCTCACACAGTGGAGAGAGAGAAATCTTCATCTTCATAAAACCACCCATCTTATCAGATTAGGACCCCACCCTTATCCTCCTTTAACCTTAATTAACTCCTGAAGGTTCTGTTTCCAAATACAGTCACACTGGGGATTCGGGCTTTTTATTTTTTTTTTTAAGTATATTTATTTCTTCCATGAAAGAGAGAGAGACAGGGAGAAAACATGAGAAAGAGAGAATGAAAGAAGAGAGAGCGAGAGAGACAAAAGAGACAAGCACCCCAACAGTCTTGACACCATGATCCCCCTCAATCTCTCAGCTGCCCAGGATCACAGGCATGTGTGTGCAGGGAGGTCTCGGGATGCAAACCCAGGACCTTTCCCTTGGGAGTCTAGTTGCATTACTGCTGTGCCACTGCCTGGACTGCGAAGAAGGACTTTAAAACACGAATGGGGTAGGAGTACACTTCAGTCCAGAGCAACAGTCCTGAGAATTGAGACTCTGCATCCTCATTCTGGGCTTAGGGGAGGCAGAGGTCGAAGGAGTTGAACTTTTTCCTGGAGACACCATGGACAGCGGCAGGCTCAGCCTGCACAAGGCTGGCCGTCCTGCTTCTCTGAGCTGGAAGTTCGCCTTTCAGAATGGGAGCGACGGGAGCCTCTCGAGCTTGAGTTCCCTGAGTTAGCTTTCCTCCATCCTGTCCATCCTCCTACACGCCCATCGGTCCCAGAAGTCACAGGATAGCTTTATTCGTTCAGTTGTTTAGTGCCTGTCTCTCCTGCTAGGTATTAAGCTCCATTTGGCCAGGTGCTTTGTCATCCTATTTCTTGTCATATCACCACATCTAGGACATTGCTGGTCCAAAAGAGATACACACGAAGTAGCCGACAAGTGACCAAATGATGAATTCTGATCTGGTATTACGAGCCACCTGGGCCTTACTCCCGCCCAGGATTTGCTAGTTATAAGATATTGAACTTTGTTAGAGATGGAGGACTCGTGGGCTATTTGCTTTACTGATGGATGTTTAGGAACATTCATCTCAGCAAGCCATGGCAGACCTAGATATAGTGGCTAAGAGAAATGCACCAAGTCTGGTGTTAGCTACGTGACGTCACCTCCAGAAGCCCATTACTCAGGTCGTGGAGGCTCAATCCTAGAGGAACAGGTGCCTCTGGACTTGCTTGTGAATTTCTTTGGCATGTCGTGCTCTGGGTGGGTGCTCTGGATGGGGCTGGCACATGGTGTCCGCAGACCAGAGCACTGCAACAGTGTGTGTGTGTGGAGGTCAGGTGGACATCTCCACCTACATAGGCAGAAGGTCGACAGCAAGCGTCAAACAGTGCCCAGCGCCATCCTCGGCACTGCTGGGAGGAGGTGTCCAGCCCACCCTCAGCTGCATGCGTGGCCCCACTGTGGGGATGTGATCTGAGGATGGGTCTGGAAGTCTCTTGGTGCCATCCCTGGGCACGGCCTGAAAGGAAGCTGCCGGCAGGAGCAGCTGGGAGCCCAGAAACCTCTGGGCAGGTTTCAGCTAAAAGCAGCCAGTCAGTTGAGTGGGCCCGAAGGGACACCTCCCCAGGCCAGCTGTGAGTGCTCGGGACGTCCCAGCAGCAGGTAGGCATGGGGACCCACAGACACGGGGCCAAAACGAGGGGCTCGTCCTGGGGCGCGACACACAGGTTGGCAGATGGGCTCTCAGAACACCCCAGGGTCCACTGGACCGCCTCTCCTGGACCACTGAAATGACCTGTGAGGTTGTTTCCCCAACAGCAGGGCATGTTCTCGTACATGTTTGGGCTTACCCTTTCTGTAGTACCTGCTCACTGAATTCATTCTAAAATCTAGATCGTGAGTCTGGAGAAGTACATGGGGAAAATTTGAAATTGGAGGAATGGAACGTGAGGTGTGTATATGTGTGTATATGTGTGTGATGTGTATATGCATGTATATGTAATGTGTGAGAGGTATGTGTGTGCAGTTATGTGTATGGGTATAGCTGTGTGTATGTGTGTAGGGTGTGTATGTGTATGTACGTGTTTGTATGTGTGCTGTGTGTCTATGTATGTGTATGAGATGTAGGTGTATGTGTAGGGGTGTGTGTGTGTATTGATATGTGTGTGTGTGTGTTGGGTGTGTATGTGTAGTTTGTGTGTGATGTGCATATGTGTGTATGTGTATGTGATGTGTGTATGTGTGTGCAGATATGTGTATGCAGGTGTGTGTGGGTATGTGATATGTGTTTAGGGTGTATATGTGTATATAGGTGTGTGTGTGCTATGTCTCTATGTGTGTGTGTGTGTGTGTGTACCCCAGGTCTTCAGGAAGGGGTGTGTGTGTGTGTGTGTGTGCCACAGGTCCTCAGGAAGGGGTGTGTGTGTGTGTGCATGCCACAGGTCCTCAGGAAGGGGTGTGTGTGTGTGTGCGTGCCACAGGTCCTCAGGAAGGGGTGTGTGTGTGTGTGTGTGTGTGTGTGTGCGGCGGGCCCCCGCGGTGTGTGTGTGTGTGTGTGGGTGTGGCGCAGGTCCTCAGGAAGGGGTGTGTGTGTGTGTGTGTGTGTGCCGCAGGTCCTCAGGAAGGGGTGTGTGTGTGTGTGTGTGTGTGTGCCACAGGTCCTCAGGAAGGGTGTGTGTGTGTGTGTGTGTGTGTGTGTCGCAGGTCCTCAGGAAGGCAGTTTACTAGCAGGCTCAGCACGAGCCATTGCCCCTAGCAGACTGTGCCTTGGGAAACTTACTTATTTAGACGGTCTTGTGTAGGAACATGGCTCTCCCATTCCACCTAACCACCATTCAACCGGCATCGGGCTTTGTGTGTTTAGCACATACCTGCCTGAAGCCTTGCCTTTTGTGGCCCAATGTTTCCGTTCCTCCCCTTCCCCCTTGAGACTTAGATGAGTGCATTCTCCAGCCCTTTGGTCAGCTCCAGCCTGCTGTGGACTTGCGGAGCGTGTGGGTTGTGGGACCACAGGCAATCAGAGTGGGGGTGGAGTGGTCAGGCTATGGCATCCCTTGAGTTGGGGAGTCACCAGTGTTTGATATGAAAGGAACTCGTGGCCATCAGACAGACCCATACTGAAATAGAAGCATCACACATTCCAAAGTCAGAGCTATATGATCTCCTGCCGGGGAAAACAATTGAAAATCAGTCCCACCTTGTCACAGTAGACTAGACTCTGATGTGTTCTCACAGTCTCCAATCTCTGGTTCTATGGTAGAAAGTGACCGTCACATCGCTAAGTGTGAGGCCAGGGCCTGGGATACTAGGGCTTTCTCCAAGATACTCTCCGCGGCAGCAGAGATTGCTGTGGCCTCTGGGTGTCTTATTGGGACGAGAATAAGTCTGAGCTGGAGCTGGTGCTGGTACCAGACCCAGGATGGAAGGATTGAAAGCCTTTAAAGTCTTGAGGCTCCCAAGGGCATACTACAGATGATAAAATTCAAGTCCCTCACTCTGGCCTGTGATGGTCTGAGGCTAAACTTGGAATGAAGTCAACAATAGCTCAATGTGATGATTCTGTTCAGCCACAAGGAGAACATTTATTTTCCAAGAAGATATAGTGGGAAAGGGGTCATGAAAACTTAAAGTGGTCCAGTTAGTTCTAGAAAACAGATGAAGTGCCCTTAATGGAAAGCCTGGGCCTATGGAGGGAGCTCTGGTCCAAGCAAGGGGTCCCAGCCCAGTGGTGTTTTTGGACAAATGGCTCAGCTGCACCAGAAGGAGTTGGGCCAGCTCATCTCTAAGGTCCCATCTGACACCTGGTGATTCTGCGACTTTGAATAGCCGGTCCAGATGAACAGGAGGCCTCGCTCCAGTGGGCTTACCCAACGTTGCCATGTTGCCCATCGCTGATCGCTGCGTCTCAGCTGAGTCGATGTGGACATGGATGTGGACTTGGCAGGAGGTGTATATCAGCCAAGAGGCCTCTGGAGTCTTACAAGTGAGCCTCAATCCTGGAAGCAGAACCTAGGAGAAGAGGGACAGGGGAAGAAAGAAACTGGCTTTATGGCACCAAACCCAACAATTCATTTCATGATCCTCTCCCCGCATGCACTCAGCAAATATTTGTGCAATGCCCCCAGAGTCTGCAGTGGGCACTGGAGACTTGGCAGAGAACAAAATGGTCCCAGCCCTACTTTTAAGCAGTTTGTGTTCTATGGGGAGAGAAAGGATGAAAACCACACAGCGAGTTAGTGACGAGTGTAAGCTGGGCTGTGAAGGAGGCGTTTGAGATACTCGGATACTAACCGCTGGGAGACCAGGCCTAGGCCGAGGCAGGATGGCACAGAGGAAAACGGACAAAGGGATGAAGAAGGATGAAAGAACTTTCCAGGCCAAGGGAGGAGCAGGTGCAAAGCACCAAGGTGTGTGGCCATCTCACATGTGTGAGGATGGACAGGCTAATGGAGAGGGAGAGTGGAGAGAGAAGAGAAGGTTCTTGGGCGGTGGCCTCGGGAGGGTGTAGGGGCCAAGCTGTAGCAAGCTTCATAGGCTGTGGTCAGGATTTGATTTTTGAGTTTTATTATAAGAGGCAAGAAACCATTATAGGTTTAAGTAGGGTAATGATGTGATCCAATGCGTGTCAGTTCTTTTGTTGTTGTTGTTGTTTTTGAGAGGTGTTTGCCATAGGGCGCGTGCACTCACCAGACAGACAGAGAGAAACATAGAGACAGAAAGCGAGAAATCACCCCCCCAGGGGGGATGACCATGCCGCAATCCCTTCTCCTCCATTCTCCTCTCGGGATCTTGGGCATGCACACACACACGCCCGGCGTGAGTTTTAAGCCACTGGGTCCGGGACGCAAACTGCGGTCGACTACGTGGGAGTCCAGCGACATAGCCATTATGCTAACTGCTGGTCCCTGTTGTTGTTTTTAACAGTGGCTTGCTGTATTTTTAATCTTCCTGCCTCAGCCTCCTGAGAAGCTGGGACTACAGGCATGTACCATCAGGCCCAGCTCTTTTCAGAGAGGAGCTCACTAAGTCGCCCAGGGGCTTGCAGTCCTCCTGCCTTAGCCCCCTGAGTCACTGGGAATACAGGTGCACGTCACCACACCCCACTTTTAAGTTGGACAGGGAATCAAACCTGGGCCTGCCATGTGGTCTCAGCCTGCAGGACGCAGAATCTTAGTAGCATGCAACTCCATGGCTGGGCCTCTGATGTGTATTTTTAAAAAAGACTACCATAACCTTGTTGGGAAGGTGGGTAAAAGAGGCAAGAGAGGACGCAGAGGACTCATTGGCAGCAGGGAAGATGAAGATTAACCATCCCTGCTTTTCAGATAAGCTTACTAGGCTGAGACACCTTTATGCAAGTGAAAATACTTGTCACTCCCCAGGAGGTAGTCACAATATATACACAGTCTGAGGAATAGCAGGCACCAAGAAGAAATACAGCATATGTGTATTCTTTATATGAAAGAGGAAAAACATCAAAATGCAATTTTAAAAATGGCAAATGATATAAACCAGCATTTTGAGAAGAGGAAAAACAGAAGCATGTAAAGAGATCTCCAAGCAATTTGTGATGAGGGGAATATAAATCAAGATCCTATAATTCTATATCTATGTGGTTAGAAAACAATCCTAACTATGTACTCCCAGTCCTGGAGATGAGAGCTTGGAGTGTTGCTCACACAGTGCAGCCTCTTTGGAAACGATGTTGGCAAGCTTTCCTGAAGCTGAAAATCACATCCCCTGAAGAAACCCATCATTACCTCCCGAGAGGTATTCAGTACCCATGAATAAGGCTTGCATGTGTACACCAGGTGCATTTACAAGGAGGTTCACAGTGGGCTGGGTCCATGGCCTGGTGGTGAAGGCAGCCAGGTCCCACATGGCTAACTGTGTAGTTCGAGTCCTGAACCTGGAGACTTGAGAAACATGCTGAACACATGTGCGTTCGTTCCCAAAATCCTGAACAGAGGGAGAGATGGAAGAGAAAAGATCGTGATGCGCCCGTTCCCCCTGAGGGGTGGTGCTTTCTCATCTTCCTTCGCTCTCTCTGCCCAGCACTTGTACCCTCTAACACACAGAACAGAATGTTCACAGCTCCAGTTTCTACAACAGCAGAAATCTGGCAACCACCCAGACGTCCCTTAGGAGGGTAACTTAGGTGAAGTTTATAAATAAACGTGTTACAGTCAAGACACTAGGATATCATACAGCAGTGTAATATTGGGTGTGATTAATGGATAGAGAGTGTCGTGTCACCTGGAGTGCTTACAAAAGAAGAAAGGTACAGTCAGGGAGTCCATATTTACCTGCCAGTCTGTGGCAGAACCAGCTGTTGACGCCAGCTCCTTCCACTGAGGACCTGGGCCTCCTGGGAGAGCAGGGAGGGGCTGTGGATGGTCGCTGTTCCTTAGAAGGTCCACCACGATGGAGTCTTTCTGCCTGACGTGGCCCTGTCCTGGCTGACTGAGCATGTCTGGAGAGGATACAGGCAGGTAGGATTCACGTCTCACGGGGCACACCTTGACAGCAGTGGCATCGCTCCTAGGGGCTCAAGGTTAATGTTTTTCAAGGAGACCAGGTCAGCAGGTGGCCTGGAGGTTAAAAGCGGCTGGGTCCCACCCGGCCCACTGTGCAGTTTACGTCCCAGACTGGCATTCTGAAAAGTACGCTGGGCGTGTGTGCACGGGCACTCAGAATCCCGAGAGGAGAGGAGAACGATTGTGGTGCAGTCATCTCCCCTGGGCTGGGCTTTCTCACTTTCCCTCTGTCTCGCTCTAGCAAGCACCCATTCCCTGTAGCATTTTTAAATTTTTTTTTTAATTTTTTAAGGAAAAAAGGAGGAACAAAGAAAAAAGAGGCCTTGCATTGTGGCTGCACAGCAAGTCCAGAACAGCACCTTGGAATGGGCGGGATTGGAGAGGACGGTGGCTTGCAGATAGGGAGTTGGGGTTGCAGGTACCTCAGGGAGAGGAAAGGGGAGGAGTCAGGGGGAGGAAGGTGAGAGTGGAGGCAGGAGAAAGGAGGCTTTGATCCACAAGAGGGGGAGTGAAGGAAGGAGACAGGATTCGTCCATTAGTCCAGAGCCTCTGGTTTCAGCGTCCTTTTGTATATTATTAATGTTATTTTGCCAGAGGCCACATATGATCACCAGAGAGAGAGCACACACTCTCCACTGGGGTGTGGTCACACTGCAATCCCTTCTCCATTTCTCCATCTGATCAGATCCTGGGCACACACGCATACATACCTGGCATGTTTTTCAAGCAACCAGAGCTAGGATTTGAACCACCGCTGGCCACAAGGGTTCCAACTCCCCTTGCACAGTGCTTAACAGTAGCACCACGTATGGGGCGAATCCATCGTTTTGTATATTTAATGACTTTGTCCCAAGGGCCCAGGTCTCCAAATCCCCACATCTGCCAAAGCCCCAGAAATAAAAACAGCCCTTCCTTCTCTCACACAGCATAGATGTCTGAATTTGACCAAGTCTTCTAAATACCTTGACCCGTAGGAGAAATATCTTGTTATGAATAGTGCTACAAACACAACTTGCTGCCTTTCTCCCAGCCCAAATCAAATCGGAATGAACATATCTGTGTCTTAGCGTGATGAGAATGTGCCGCAGGGGTGAAGGCAGCGAAAACCACAAACTCATCAGTGACTTGAGCTGCAAGTGAAGGGAGCCCAATGGGGAGGTTTCGAGTTTCAGGAAGATAAGGTGTCCCAGTTCTACCTCCGTCAGAGCCCAGCAGCTGGGTCCCTTGCCATACACAAAACTTAGCCTTCGCGTTGTGAAACTCCAGCCTGGACCTCAGAGGAAGGACAGAGGTAGCAACAACAGTCATGCTTCGTCCCCTGAATACAAGGAGAGGCGTCGTGGCTGCAGCAGGATCCCCTTAGGTGATGTGTACTGAGAACATGCCAGGGTAGCCACTGCGCAGCCCACGAAGAGCTCCCAGTTCAAGGTCTGAGTTCCAGTCCGGACTCGGCCTGAAGAGCTCCACTTCTGGGGCAGCAGTGTCCCCTCTGGCCTCAGCTTGAGAACCTATATCAGCGATCGGTAAACTGGCCGTGGGCCAAGTCTATAAATACATTTATTGAAACACAGCCATGCTTCTTGGGTAACAGACTGTCTGTCATGGCTTTTGCACTAAGCAGAGCTGAATATTTACAACAGAGACCACAAGGCACATAAAACCTAAAATATTTATTACCTGGGCCATTTACTGAAAATATTTGTCAACTCCTGATCTACATTATGAGGAAGTTGAATGGATTGTGATTTCTCAGAAAGCTGATCAAGAGGTCCATAAAGAAGACATGATAGTTAAAAAATAAAAATAGCACTTTCTACACAGGGGTAATGTGAGCAGTAAATACATGCAAAGGTTTAGGCCATGGTACCCAGAATATATTAGCATTATTTTGATTTCTATTATTACTATACAAGGGGCTTCAAAAAGCTTATGGAAAGTGTGTATTATGAGAAAAAGCTACATGTAGATTTCAAAAAATTTTTCGTTAAAATAAACTCGTACTTGATTTCACTTTTCCGTGAACCTTGGATAGACAGTCCATTTGAATGCAGGATGGATTACTAGAATTGTATGTTATATTTGTATTTTATTTTGATATTTTGCTATATTTTTAGAACGTGCTTATATTTTATATTCATTTGTTTTTTAATGTAAGCAGAATTAAGTTTTACTAACATCTCTTTTATTACTACTTAAACCCACATTTATCTTTACACATAAATTCGTTCTTCATCATCTGCTGCTCTCTGTAATAATAATAGCGAACACTTTCTTGAACATTTACTGTGTGTCAGTGAGTGTTCTAAGGGCTTTGCAGAAGTTAACTCATCTCATTACAACGCTGTAATATAAATTACTGTAAATCCCTTTTACAGATAAGAAGGCTGCGCACAGAGAGGTTCTTAACTTGCTCTAAAGCCACACAACTAGAGGGTGGCAGATCTGAGTCAAATAGAGTTTGCCCCTGAATCCCTCTGCCATGTGCTTTTCATATACATACTTATACTGACTATATCTGGTTAAAAACCTTTTTGACTCACTGAGAGTACATGATCATTTAGGTGTAGATGGTCCCAAAGATGCTATCCAGGACTGGCATTTATTAACTGCCTGCTTAAGCAAACATCTGTCTCACTGGGACCTTGGATTGGTGAGGATTGACAGTTCCCCCTAGCTCTGACATGTTGTCTTCCTCCCTCAGCCCACCCAGAGAGAGCTGCCCTGCTGTTTGTGTCCAGTGTCTGCATCGGCCTGGCTCTCACGTTATGTGCCTTGGTCATCAGAGTGTCCTGCACGAAGGACTTCCAGGAGCTGCAGTTGAGTAGGGGCCATCTGGTGCCAGGAAGTGACAAGGCTGAGGAGGACAGTGAAGAGGAAGAGCAGGAAGAGGACTCTTCTGACTCTGATTTTCCAGGGGAGCTGTCGGGGATTTGTAGGACTTCATATCCTGTCTACAGTTCCTTAGAAGCTGCAGAGCTAGCAGAAAGGATTGAGCGCAGGGAGCAAATCATCCAGGAAATATGGATGAACAGTGGTTTGGACACCTCACTCCCAAGAAACATGAGCCAGTTCTACTGAAGATCAGACATCTTGATGTGATCACACTTTCTGAAGAGGAAAGGATCTAAATGTCCCCCCAGTTCTGTTTCACTCGTACCTTCTATGAAGGAGAATTCATCATGTCATCCAATACTGGTGAAGCCAGAAGCTACTAAAGGGCCATTTCAAATCGTTTACAGTGTATCCCAAAATAAATTAGGAGGGAAGAGGTCTGTGTTTCCTGTATTTATTTGAATTGATGTCTGTACACGAAGAAGTCTGCACATCATTGGAGTTCACATTCATTGAGCGCTTACATTGCCCGGGACTTTCTAGCTGCTTTTCATGTACTAAGGCATTTAATCTTCACAACATCATGAGATAATACTGTTATCCCCTTTTTACAGGTGAGTAGACAGGAAATTCCCATGTAGCCAGAAAAAGTTATATTGTTACTCAGGAAACAATTATATTAAGGCCAGCAAACATGAGCTCTCAAATGATTTTAATTGTGACCATTATTTGTTTGGAGAAAGAGTCAGCAAAATTTTTTCTTAAAGGGCAAGATAATAAATGGTTTGGGTCTTGTGGGTCCTATCAGCTGTGGTATAACCACAGCTCTCTCTATAGCTGGAAGCAGCCATAGAAAACATGTATGTAATGAATGAATGTGGCTGTGTTCCAATAATACTTTATTTAGGAAAACTGAAATTGAAATTTTATTTACTTTTCACATCTCATTTTCTTCTTCTCCTCCTCCTCCTCCTTTCTTCTCCTTTTCTTTTCTAAATCAACCACCTAACCAGTCTTTGCTCAAGAGCTGTAAAAGGTTGGGTCTGGCCCATGACCTGCTTTTGTAAATAAAGTTTGACCTACAAAGCCCAAATATTTACTCTCTTGCCCTTCACAGGAAAAGTTCATCAACTCCTGAATTAGAGTTAAAAACTGCTGAGCTTCTGGTGGTAAAAGCTATCAGAGTACCTAACACTTCCAGGAGCAAAATTAAGTTGGCTTAGCTTTCAAATCATTGCACAAATGATTTGAATGGTCCTACTCATTGAGTGGCTGGGCAGAAGGAAAAGAAAGGGGAGTTAAGGAAACTGAGATCCTGCTGAGAGAGCTGATGATGGCTTTCTTTGTAAGGCTTCTCCTGGCGGGCAGGAGGCCCACAGCTATGGAGTCAAATAAGATTCTTTTTTTGGCTTAGAATATTAAAATGGTCATGTTATATATCATGTGCCTACTATCAATGCATTTTCCCTGTTTTATCTTACTTTATTATCACATCCACTCTGTGAAAAAGGATGTAGATGAGGCTGAAGGCTGACGAGTTAGGACGCTATGAGCGTCCATGTCACGCAGCTGGAAAGTGCCGGGGCTGACTCTGAGTGATCTGATCATCTCGGGTGATCAGGAGATACCCAGCTGCTCCCTCAGGGACAGGCACAGAAAAAGCATTTCCGTTTCAGTCGCATGGACCATCAGAGTAAAGGCCTCATCTGCAGAACACAGAGAAAGGAGGGTATCGGTGGAGAAAATTATGCCCACATTGACCTCTGTCACAAAGCTTTTATTTAATTCCATAATTGTGTTTTTTCTAATCTGAGTCTCTCTACCAACCCCCAACACACAGACACACACACACACACACCCACACACACACACACACCCACACACACACACACACCCACACACACACACACACCCACACACACACACACACCCACACACACACACACACCCACACACACACACACACCCACACACACACACACACCCACACACACACACACACCCACACACACACACACACCCACACACACACACACACCCACACACACACACACACACACGTGCAGGTGTCAACCCCTCCCAGGACCCCTGTGGAGGCAGCTGGATGGCAGGCCTGCCTTTGGCCTGTGCAAATACAGTGAGTTATTTATTTGCATTTTCTGAGCCTAAAAGAAGAATGCCGTGTTCTTCTCATGGAAGGAGCCTGAAGGGTCCTGCTGAGATTGTGTTTGGATGGGAACGAAGCCCAGGAGGAAAATGACCAGACCAGATCTGGATGAGGAGCTGCAGATGGACCGTGGTGGCTGGGAGGAATCAGTGGGGAAGTCCTCCCAGGGAGAGCAGGCGCCCACTGCGCTGCTGCCTCTGGGCTCTGTGCAGCTCTGGGCAGCAGAGCCCCTGCTGTTTCCAAGCTGTGGAGTCCCGGAAGTCATATGAAAAGAAGCCAACCCTCTCTGGGAGGTTTGCACACGTCACTGCCTCAGTTATTTGCTGCCAGCTTCAAGACGTGAGCTGCCTGCTGTCAATTCTGCTCCTCTTGATTCCCCAGAAGGCGTAGAGGGGCTGCTGGCACGTTGTAGCTGCCATGGCATTGCTGCCGCTTGGGGGAGGAGCGGGGTGCACACTGCAAAGAATGGTGTCAGTGCCCTGCCCAGAACCCCTCCCCAAGCCCAGGCGCCCTCCTGCAGCTACCCTGAGGGGTGGCTCTATGCGCCTCCCACCCCTTCTTCTGCAGAGAACTGCTCCTCACCACTTTCTTACAGGTGTTTCTCTGCAGAGTACTCCCTCAGTAAACCCCTTCTGCAAGAATCTACGTCTCAGTGTGAGGGGTCTGTGGCCAGAGGTCTGTGAGGGGGAGTGTGCCAGCCCCACTAGCCCCCACTACTGGTGCATCATACCCCACAACCTCAGTGGGAGCCAGACTCAAAGGAACATCAGGAACCTTCCCTTAGTAATTGGTATAAGAATGACTCAGCCATGCACTGGTAAAGGGTGTTTAGAGCCCCCCTCCAATCTCTCTCACCCTTCCGCATGAGTCCCTGGAAACCAGGATCCTCCCCAGGTCACATGGGGATTTGAAGCTTAAGGCCGATGCCTCCTCCCAGACAAGTGGGGAGCCAAGGAAGCCTCTCCTCTACTTTTCCTGGGGCTCCACGCTGCTCATAGCAACCCACGAGGTCTACAGGGCTTCCTGGAAAGGGCCCCTGCTCTGAGGCATCCACCCCTCTCCCTGCTCCAGGCCCTGAGCTCCTGGCCACCAATGGCCTCCAGGTTGGCCATGACTCAGCCCCAATCCTGGACTCTGGGTTTCCTCGCTCACCGTGTTGCTCCTGTCTCCCATCTGCTCTGACTCGTTTCTATCTCAGCCTTGGGGTGGTCTACCTTTATCTTAGTTTCCTCCTCTGAAAAAATGGTCTTAGCAATAGAATCTGCTTCCCAGTGGTGTCGAGAGGGCTAGTGCTTTCCACATAATAAAGCCAGTGTTTTGAAGCTCGTATCATCAATGACTTTTTTCTTCCTCAGGGCAGCCTCTAGCAGATGGCATGGTCAAGGCTGCACCAAGTCTATGCCAAGGGCATCCATGAAACTCCTAGGCATCATAAGCCCCTTTGGCCCTGCTGTGGGCGAGGGTTTGTGGGAGAGGAATAACTTTATCCGCAGATCTCAGGAAAGTGGCAACCCTGAACTTCCTAGGATTTCGCAGCCAATTCCTTTGCAAAGTCTTCCACTCATGGACTTGGCAGGCTATGCTCCGTTTCAACAAGGTGGTTATAACCCCAAGCTAGGTTCATTTCGTTTAAGAAGCCCACTGTAGGCCTGGCCAGCAATGCAGAGCTTGCCAAACTCCTCCCCAAGGCTGGATGGCAGCCCTATAGCTTAAATCTTAAAGACTCCAACCAATGTCCTGTTGACTGGAACTACCTGGTCTATAGCTAAAGAGGCAGCAAGAAAGAGCCGCTGGCCACATAAGGGAGAATTCAGGAAGCCAACTGGCAGCCTGGGGCCACGCATTCTTTTTAGGAATGTCAAACTGACGGGCACCTCCTGTGTGCTGGGTGCGGTGCTGGGGATCCCTGAAGAAGGAATGAGACAGGAGGGGATCGCAGGCATGGCCATCCCAGCTCTGCTATACTGCACGGTGCCACCAGCCAAGTGTGGCTATTTAAATGTACGTTTACATCAATTAATAACAGTTACAAGTCAGCTCCTCCATCCCACTAGGAGCATTTCAAATACTCAGAAGCCACATGGCAGTGCTGGCCTGGGACAATGTGGGTAGTCCACTGGACAACGCTCAGCTGGCATGTTAAGTCAGACATAGAGGCATCTGCCCAGTCACTGCAAGAAAATGGAGCAGGTACTTCCTTGGCCTCACCAACCAGGCATCTAGTCAGGTACCAAAATCCCAGGTACAGAATTGTGGGCCCTCAGTATCATCCACCCCCACCCCAGCTCACTCTGTCTCTAGTCTCCAAGCCCTGAAGCCCCTGGTCATAGACTCACAGCTGGTGCTGCAGCCCACCTTCGTGGGCTCTGATCCCTGCAGAGCCAAGACCTCAGGAGGCTGTCACCTCCCCTACCCCGGCCACACAGAGCCCACAGACTTTATTTGCTCTAGCCGCTACTCCTGCGGCAGCCACAACCACTCTCCTTCCTTTGGGCACTGCTGCTTCTATCTGTTCCCTTCCTTTGTCCCCTGAGAAGAGTGGAACTGTCTGGGGGGTCTGAAGGGCCTCCTTTCTTCTGACCCTGCAGGTTATCAGCACCTCAGAAACAGTCCAGAGAAACCTTGGATATATTCTGAGGCCCAGCTTTCCCCACCTCCTGCCAGGCAGAGCCGCTGAGTCTACCCAGAACCCACCTCATACCCTCCTCTCTTTCCCGTATGTCCCTGTGTCCCTTCCATTTCGCCACTGAGTCCATGAGCAGAGGCCCTTTTCTATCAGAGGTTTCAGCATCACAACACTGAGGGTAAGAAGGAATTAAGTGGGGCCAGGCAGCTGGATCCTACTCGGCCGACCCTGAGGTTCCAGTCCTAGACCTAGCAGATTAAAAAACACTTCAGGTGCACATGCATGCGTGCCCAAAATCCTGAAAGGAGAATATAGGAGAAGGGATTTCAATGGGTTCATCTTCCCTGGGGTGCTTTCTTACTTTCCCTTTCTCTTTCTCTGTCTCTCTCTGGTGAGCGCTCACACCCTATAGCAAATTTAAAAAAAAAAAAAAAAAAAGAATCACAGTAAATGGCTAAATCAAGTGGCCCTGGGATCACAGAGAGAATGAATCCTCCTGAGGGGTTGGGAGGATTATCACAGACAGCTCTCAACGTGGTCCTCAAAGAATCAGCAGAACTTTTGAAGGTTAAGGTGGGGAAGCGAGCAGCTACAATAGACCAGGACATGGGAACAGGAATGGCATGTTCAGGAATGGGGAGCTGC